CCGGGAATCTGGGACAGACGGTCACCATCTCTTGTGCTGGAACCAGCGGTTATGTCAGCTGGTACCAACAGCTCCCAGGCATGGCCCCCAAAACCCTGATTTATAATAACAATAAACGGCCCTCAGGGATCCCTGATCGCTTCTCTGGCTCCAGTTCTGGCAACACGGCCTCCCTGACCATCTCTGGGCTCCAGGCTGGGGACGAGGCCGTTTATTACTGTAGCTCAGCTGGAGGTAGTTGTTACACTGTGCACCGTGGTCCACGTTCATGGGGAACTGAGACCAATACCTCCTCTGAGATCACTCAGCCCTTCACTCCTGAACTGAGGCTTTCATTTGCTTCTGTTATTAGTTTATTTGGAAGCAATTATGAGCTTAAACAAAAATGTATCGTTTACATAGAGAGCTGCTGCAGAACCTTTTTCCAGATTCACGAATTTTAAATACTTTGCCATGATCGCCTTTCTCATATCCCGTTGTCTCTCATTCTCTCTCTGCCTTTGTATGTCCCTACGCACACACATCCATATGCACATACAGCACACACTCAGGAACACAAAACATTTATTTTCTGAATCATTTGAGAGTAATTTGTATCTATCAGCAGCCAAGCCTTCATATTTTTTCTTACATAGGCTTCACAATCCATCACATACATCCTTTTAAGGTGAATGATCCAGTGGTTTTTAAGAGTCACAGATTTGAACATCCACTAACATTCTATCTTCCAGGATATTTTTCATCCTCATAAAAGGAACACCTTACCCGTCACCAGTCAATCCCCTTTCCTTAGTCCCTCCAGCTCTCAAAACCATTTTTTTAATAGATTTATTTATTTTATTTATTTACTTTTGGCTGCATTGGGTCTTCATTGCTGTGCATGGGCTTTCTCTAGTTGTGGCGAGCGGGGGCTACTCTTCGTTGTGGTGTGCAGGCTTCTCATTGCAGTGGCTTCTCTTGTTGCAGAGCACGGGCTGTAGGCGTGTGGGCTTTCATAGTTGTGGCACATGGTCCCTAGAGCACGCGGGATTCAGTAGTTGTGGCACGTGGGCTCAGTAGTTGTGGCTCGCAGGCTCTAGAGCACAGGCTCAGTAGTTGTGGTGCACGGGCTTAGCTGCTCTGCGGCATGTGGGATTTTCCCAGAGCAGGGCTCGAACCCGAGTCTCCTGCACTGGCAGGCGGATTCTTAACCACTGTGCCACCAGGGAAGCCCCTCGAAACCATTAATATACTTCCTGCCTGTTCTAGACTTTTCACATGAATGCAACCATACCATATGTGGCCCTTTTCGCCTGGCTCCTCTCACTCTTTATAATATTTTCAAGGTTCTTTCCCATTGCAGCACATATGAGTACTTCATTCATTCTTATTGCCAAATAATGCCACATTGTCAGCATCGACGTACCTGCCTGAACATCTGGGCAGACCCAGGCATAAGCACCAGATGGCTTTCCCATCTTGTGAGAACTTTACCAGTTTTAGCTCTGAAAGTGCCCTGTCCTGCCCGGGACTTCAATCTAGGGCAAATCATGGTGGATCGTCGCTGAGATGGTTAATTTTATGTGTCCCTTTGACTGGTCACAGGGGACTCAGATGAAGCATCATTTCTGGATGGGTCCGGGCAAGTGTTCCTGGATGAGATGAGCATTTGAATCTGGGGACTCA